ATTCTACAATCAAAATATAGAGAAAGATTTCCTTTTCACCTACAGCATTGTCATTATACAAATTCATGATTGTGTTCTGTTAGTGTGTAAAAACATCATGTGTATGATTAAAAAAAAATAAAAATCTTATTTTTAGAACAGCACAATTAGTGAAATAACTCCCAGTTAAGAAACTCTTTTTGCAAGGTCTTGCAACAAAAATAAAAACCTGTATTTTGTAAACTCCCATGGTGACCTCTCCTGGTAGAAAAATATATGACCTCTAACCATGAAAACATGCAATCAGATTAATATTCAAAGGAAGAATTACACCTGGCCCACTTTATAGTTTATTTTTTAATGCCATATCCTTAAAGATCCAGATGCCATTTACAAATCAAACCTGACACACAAATTACTAGATCTTTTAGAAAGCATTACAGCCTCCTGCTGTATAGGCAAAAGCCTGTACAAGAGGCTTTGGCAACTTTTTAAAAGTAATTTTTCAATAGTATCATCTTAGAGTAAGATAAAAAATAACTGTATATATTAAGGAATTAAAATTTGGGACATAGTGGAACAATAAAATGTTACCTAAAAGTGACACAATAAAGGAAGCCTGAAAAAAATAGATGGACCTAAACATATTCATGGTTTGCTGAAAACATGATATATTTTCCTTTTCTGGCATAATTTTTTAAAATAAAAATAATAATTTCCATGGGAACTTTAAGCAAAAATACTCCTAAACCTTTTTTTTGTTGTTGTTGTTTTAATTTCTAGTTTCAGTTATTTAGCTACTGTGTGGGAGCAGATTGTCCCTTCTGCTTTCATGAGACCCCCCCTGCTGTCCTGCATCCAGCTCTGGGGACCCCAAAACAAGAGGGACATGGAAGTGTTGGAATGAGTCCAGAGAAGGCCACAAAGATGCTCTAAAGGGCTGGAGCACCCCTGCTATGGAGACAGGCTGAGAGAGTTGGAGCTGTTCAGCCTGAGACGAGAAGGCTCTGGGGAGACCTTAGAGCAGCTTCCAGTGCCTAAGGCAGCCTACAAGATATCTGGAGAGGGACCTTTTACAAAGACATGTAGTGACAGGACAAGGGGAATGGCTTTAAACTGACAGAATGTAGATTTAGATTAGACATTAGGAAGAAATTTTTCAGGTAAGGATGATGGAAGAAAAAGACAGCTGTTGGGTTTTGCCTTCTTCAGGATGAACACTCTTCAAGAGCCAGGTTCCTGTCACAAAAGTGCATGCAGATGCAACTCTGCAGATCAGGCAGGAATCACAAATTCATTCTGCACTCAGTCATGCGGTGTTTAAGGAGCACTTATGAAAACCACTGGGAAGGTAGCAGATAAACACAAGTAATAATTAGAAGTCAGTTCTGCCAAAGACAGAAAATGAACTGTGTTGACTCAAGATTAAGTATTGACTGTAGGAAATCCCTTAATCACTCTTCTTGACTTGTATATGGAAGAAGCTATTAAAAAGGCAAGGGAACCGTGAAAAATATTTCCATGAGTGCCAAAAGTGTCTATAGAGTAATTAAGTAGGGAAAAAAAGAAAAAAAAACAGCTCTTAGTATTTTTTCTTCCATGTTTTTAACAACATTATTAATCAATTTTTTTAAAAAGGAATTTTAAACCAATTCCAAAATTCTGATGCTCACATGGCTGTTGGAGACAGGCTTTACCATGTGGTCTACAAAAAAGCAAGTAAGCCACATTCCCTCCTCTACCCTCAAATTGTTACTCTTAGAACATACCATACATCCTGATTATCCACCTTCTGGTACTTAGGCATGGCATGATAATTTGTGAGGCTGTATCTCAAGTTTATAAACACCATCCTGGGCAGAGTTACTTGTTTTTAGCATGCAAAGAGTAAGTTCTCTCTTTTCAGCAGTCCCAGTTATAGAACTGCCCATCATCATCCCTCACACTGGCTTTTGGCTCAGTATGCTGCTCCAGTATGCCAAGTTGTTCTGGTGGTCAAAATGGAGGATTTCCTAACCCATAATTAGGGCATGAGATACTGGAAGAAATGCACAGGGACATCAAACAGAGGACTTAAGAGAGGGATGACAGACTTCTTCCAGAAGCCAAGTATTAAGCACTTAGTGCACCAAATTGTGATCTGATAACAGGCTAATAAAGGTGACAACATGACCATGTGATCAGGATAAAAAGGCAGACAAATTCTTCTTTAAACAGCTCTAGAGATTTCTAGATCATTCCCCAGTTCTTATAGAGGACTTCAAGTAATATCTATTCAGAAGGTAACTCAGTGAGATGCAAGCAATCTGAGACATTTCTGGAGTGTTTCAGGAGTAACTTTTAGATACAGGTATTGAGTGGGTAACTGGGAATGAAACAGCTGGATCTGCTGTTCAGATATACAAGGAAAAATTAGTTGGGGTTTTGATAATCAATGGTAATACTTTGGATATAGCATCCAAGAAATAATGCAATTCAAGCTCCTACACTTTAGGAGAGCAAAATTCCAATTCTTCAGGGAACTGATAGGTGGGATCCCATGGGAGGCAGCTTTGAAGAGCCTACAAGCTCAGGATAGCTAGCAGGTTTTTAAAGACAACCTACTCCAAGTGCAACAAAAAGTGATGAAAGCTAACATCAGCTAAGGGAAGTGTTTATGCCGCTTTACTCATTACTCATCTGACTGCACCTAGAATACTGCTCCTGTTTTTTCCAACCACTACAAGAAACACTTTGATAAAGTAGAGGGTGTTCCACACAAGGCCATCAAGGTGCTCAGGGCGTTGGACCATATGCCCTACAAGGAGAGGCTGAGGGGATGTGACTTGTTTAGACTGGAGAAAAGAATGCATGGGGGACCTCTGAGCTGCTTCTCAATATATTCAAGATGGTTATTGAGAAGGTGGAGCCAGGTTCTTAACAGCAGTGCATGGCAGAAAGACGAAAGAATACAGACCATAGCAGAAGGATGAAAAACAACAAAACAAAATTCAAACAAGTGAGGTTCATACTGGATACAAGGGAGACCTTCACCATGAGGAATGGTCAAGCACTGGAACAGGCTGCCCTGGAAAGCTGCACAGTTTTCAGGACCTGATGGGATAATGCCCTGAGCAACCTGGTCTGACCTCAGCACTGACCCTGTTTTGAGCAGGAGGCTGGATTACAGACCTCCTCAGGTCCCTTCCAACCTGAATTATTCTTTGAGTATATGAAAAGGAAAAAACACCAAGGCAAATGCTTGCAGAGTTTTGTGAGATCCAGCATTTGCATACTATGACAGGTGGAGGTGCTGTTCCCTCTCATTATGCTATCTAACTAAAGTGGCCACTATTATTTTGGAAAATCCTATTTGCCCTTCCTGCTTGGGAAATTTCAACATCTGCGGGAGCTGAAGAGAAGGGCAGGCAGCGCAAGTTTAGAAGGCAGATGATAAGGGAGTATTGCCTTAACTGTTGCTAACACTTTATTCACAACTGTGGCCGATTCCACCGTGTTTGTTTCCCCAGACATTGTACAAGAACTTTCTCATAGAGCAGATCCTAAATACTGATGGATAGACAAGTGAAAAAGGTCCCAACAGTACAGATCCAGGACCAGGGCAAGCAGGAGAATCTATGTAGCTATCTGAATAAAAAACAACTGCAAATGCGTTTAAGGTTTGTGGATTGTGAAATAACACGTACATTGTCATTCTACCTAGAAGTCTGGTGATCCATTTTAAACACTATTCTAAACTCCAAGTTTCTTTCTGCAAGTATAAAAAAATCAGGAGGAATTATGTTCTTCACTGTGTATTCTGTTGGTGTTTATCAGTATGATTCATTGTACAAATGCCACTGAACTATTTAATTAGCTCTAAGACCAATCTTTCAAGTGTTGGAATTTAAGTGAATTTATTTCAGAGAAAACTCTAAGACTCACAGTTATAAGACAAATGCTTTCTAGGCAAGGGAATCTACAGTAGCCAGCAGAATAGCTAACCTCTCTGCTCGCCATTTCTATGAAGGAAACTAAGGAAACAGTAGGAAGAAAAATAAGCTTAAGAGAGGTATTCCCTAAGGTAAAGTTGTAACACAGGTGGCCAAGGAACTGTTGCAGCTCTGCCACTGACTGTGCATAATTCATTTGTTAATCACTTAAAAATGCTATATGGGCACTATGTGAACCACACATCTCTCTTCAGCTAGTTATTTTTGTCCAACAATATGTGTCTACACATGCACATACCATCTACACAAAAGCAAACAGCTAAGCACTGAATCCTTGGCAGTATTACTGTATTGGGTGGGTGATAGTTATACTGACCTATAATCACTCTACATCTTTCAATGAGTCTGAGAAATTTACGTATGATTGGGAGAATACTGCACTTTGTTTGACACTGAATATGGCTTAAAGGGCTAGCAACATTTGTTAGGATTAACATTAATCAAAATCCCGAAATAACTCTGTGATCCTAATGATGGCTTACAGTTGCAGGCATAAGCTAAGAACTACAACTCTTAACAAGCACCAGCTTCAAGGCCAAATCATTGACGCGTAGAAGTGTGATAGAAGCTCTTCTTCCCTGTTCTATGTACTGGTAAACTACACTGACAGACACCATTTACCCCAAGATCCAGATACTTCTGAAGAGCGTGGTTCTTTGTCAATTTTTTACCATAAGACTTAGAAGAAATATGTTTAAAAATATACATTCCTGTACTATAGAATATCCTGTTCCACACTGCATAAGATTAACGAACACCAGTGGTCCAGCGTAAGAGCTACAGGGTACAGCCTCATACATTATGAAAAGCAAGTATATAAAAGCTGTCAAATACCCTCATAGTTTACAAACCTAGAACATAGTCATCCCCATTAAACTATGATCTTCCTTTAAGGAAAGCAGGTACAATTTTAAATGTCCTGGTAGCATGCTTTTCAAGAGGATTTTTAACAGTCATCTATCTACCTCCCTTGTTCACCTAAAGCAATTTAATGAAACATTAGAGTCTTCCCCCCAAAAGTTCACTTACCATCCAAAAAAGGGTTCCAGTGGCAAATTCAGAATAATGCTCTATAGTAGATAGTACACTGAATATTAAACAAATCAGCACAGAGAGAAATCTGTAAAAAGAAAACAGTGTTTAGCGACTCATCAAGTTGAACTAAATTTAGATCTAGTTTTAGCTCTCACATAACTTTTTTCATTGCAAGTACTTTGTTTATAAGCAGCTAATTCTTCCTAATTAAGTGAATATCATCATTTTGTATTTGATAATTTTTAAGAATAAATAGAATAAAAATGACAGGAAGGCTGAACACAGCTAAATCAATAGGCAAAGCTCTCATTCAGATAAAGAATAAAGAAACAAAGTCTGAAAATATATACTCCTGCCTCCAGAACAGTTTAAAAAAAATAATTGAAAAGTCATGAGAATTGGAAAACAAAATGCGCAATTGAATCCTAGTTGATTCAAAGCTTAAATGCTGGCAGAATGCACATTACTTTGTTGCATACAGTGTCATGGTCATCTTTCCATCCCTGGTAACGTTAAACATTTAAACAACTGGTGAATGAAGAACTATGATGGACAGACAAGAAAGACAGACTTCTGATATACTTGCACTACAGCTTTCACCATCTTTTAAGGTCATGCAGAAAGCAAGAGAAAAGTAAGAAAACAGAAATTACTTCCATCAACAGCCAGAAACATTCTCTCTTGTGTACCAGCTCTTCCAGATGTCATTTCCTCTGATTCCATGCCAAGAGGCTGTATCTAAACTCCTAAACTCCCAAACCAGCAATCAAAGCCTTAATAGTCCTGCACATGATGAGACAGTTTTCTAGTGAGAAACCCTTTTGAAGAAGATAAACACTGCTGACAAGGCTGGTTGAAGAACTTCAAAGCAAAAGACAGACCAAGAACCCTGATGGCTACTCTATTAATATTGTGAGATCTCAACAGAAATAAACACACTAACTACACTTAGTGTGCTTTTGATAGCTTTTACATGAAAAATATAGGAAATTCATGTTCAACATGAAGACCAGTGATGACACAAATTCCTTCGGAGTCCATCCAGAGACTTGCCCTGGTCAACGTTTTAATCAGTGTTCCAGAAGACATGAAATACACCTCAGTAAGTCCACACATGACTCCAAACCAGGGGTTCAGTCAATAAACCTGAGGGCAGAGCCACTGGTTAGAAGTGCCTGGGCAGGCTCAGGAACAAGCCTACAGGAATCTCATAAAACTCAACATGAACTCAAATGTCAACTCTTGCACATAATATGGGGCAGGCCCAGACTGACATTGTATGAAGACTTTGCCTGCATCCCCTGTAACCCTGCCAGCATGTGCAGGGCAGTGATGGTGAGGTGACAGACCAGAGGGAGCTTGGCAGAGGGCAAAAGCAGCACAAGGTCAACCTTGACCAAGCATGAATAGACAAGGGTGCCACCACCCTCATGGCAGGACAAGCCCTGCCCCTACTGCACACCATGTGTCCCACTTGTCCCAAAGTCCTGTACATCTTCCAGTCACCTCATCTGTTCCCTTCATCTCTTTCTGCCCCCAGGGGTTGCCATTCTGTAAAACATCCTGCACCACTTGTTGATAGGCTGCCCTGTGACTGGCTGATAGGACCAGCTGCCTCTTCCTGTCTATGTCAGAAAGGTGTCAGAATGGGACACTCCTGCTATAATATACCCAGAGACCCATGTTTTTTATGTCATACCCCACAAGTTTTCATACTTCTCTGTTGTAGGATGGTTGCCATTGTTTTGAAACTGTTATACCCACATGATCTCAGACCCACCTTGGACTGGCTGCTCATTTCCTTTACACCAGAAATGCAAATATAAATAAATATAAGCACAAATAAAAGCATAAATATAAATACAAGTATTAATACAAATATAAATATGTAATA